AATTATATATTATATATTACATTATACTTATTTAATAAAAAAAGTTATCTAACATCTTTTATTTAATATCTTTTTCTTGATCTAAAATTATTCTGAAAAAAAATATGAAACATGATATTACTTTTCTTAATTGCATATTATAATATAAAACTGCAGGTTTATTTTTAAAAATCAGCAAGAATTCTCACCTTCACTCACGTCATTAATATCATCTAGAAGTCTTTGTCGGGCTTCCTTGTTAGATTGCGTTTGATTCTTGCTATTTGGTGATGAAGTATCGGCCGATTCATGGGTTTTACACTTGGAGATGTCATCTCCATTGCTAGCACACTCGATTGTACCCGAAGTTTTCAATAAATGTTTTCTGCTCACGGGCTCGCAAGAATAAATAGCGATGAAACCGCCTAATACCAGAACCGCGAAGAGTCGCCAAAGCATGTTCGATCAGAACTGACGCTTTATGAAGATCATCATATTTATAGGCTCTAGCAATTAGTAATAATGGCGGAGTAAAGTGATGTTACGACATACAGAGCGTGAATGCATCTATGGTAAAATGCATCATGCGCATAAAATTATTCCAACCGGTGCTGTAGAACCGTACGTTTCTGCACGCACATAGTGGCATATCCAATATACGTATAGGATACACATCTAGTATACATATAGTATTGTACTTGCCACATTGTTAAATGGAGTGCATGAAGCGCAGTGAGAAGATAAATCAGCGGCGCGTATCATTATTTCGTCCTATCAGAAATACAGAATAATGTATTTGTGGAAGTACGTAATGCAAGTTGACTCGCATATTCCAATTTACGCTCGGTGAGATAGATAGCTAGATAAAGAACGAGATAGGTGAGAAAAGATGGAGTAGTAAGGTGGGGAGGATGAAATAGATGAAATTTCAAATTTATCGAAATCGAAGGTCAAGCATCAACGAATATGTTGGTCATATAGTAACTATTTCTATCCAAACTCTTGATACAATTTTGATGTATGTACATGAACTGTTACGGACCCATAATTTGTGAGAAAGGTAATTTATTTAATATCAAATAGACCGATAATAGAAACGTTGAAGAAAGTAGAAAGTGATGTGAAATATATTATTAATTTTTGTGTTATCCCTAACTAATGTTTTATTTATCTTACATATGCACATTTTCTCAGGTTTGTTTCAACAGGTAACTGTTTAATTCAAAATGTCAATTGTTTCTATTATTTGTTATTTGACATTAATGATTATATAATGCATATTATTATGAATTTGGAGATTTTTCTCCAATATAATAAATGATGTAAAAATTAATTAAGTTTCCTATTGTCAAATATATAATGATATTATTTGTTAAAAGTTCTTCTACAGTACTTTAATCTGAAGTAAATAATCATCATCACCTTATGTATTATTATTTTCAACTACATACATCGTGATATATAAAGTGACAGTAAAAATTGTTATATTACTGAGTGGAAGAACTGCTCTGATTTATTATGCACCACAGCTGTTATTTAAAAAGTTATTAAAATGAATGCATGAACTGAATTAAGATGATAAGTAGATTGTCAAGTGAATGAAAAAGCTTTCTTTTCACTTGTTACAGCTCCCACGATCCTCGCGCGCCGGAAAGTGGAGAATAAGGCCTAAAAAGCATGATCTTTTTCTTCGACGAGTGTTTTGTATGCCACTGGGCCAATCGAGCATCCTCGATTTACTACTCAGAGTATTATAGGCAGGGTTATAGCCTCTGAAGGTTACCAGCTATACGCATCCTAACATAACACGAAGAATGCTGCTCCTGCTTTAGTGTCTAATAGACGTTCAAAGTTTCCTTGTATATCCCCGGCGTTATAATGTAAGGTATAATTCAAAGAATGATTATTTTTTCTAAAATATTTTGCAATCTTGTTTTAAATCTTGTTATGTTTGCTATGTAAATTTGATTTCTACATATAGCTTTTCCTTGATTCGATTATGCTCATCATGAGCAACTACGCTGGATTATTTAAACGATTTTTTTGACATGCCGCTTCAACTTTTTAAATTTAATTCTCATAGAGCTCTTTGGAATATAAATTTTTTCATTTTACTCTTAAATCATACTAAATTTAATGTTTTTTTTTTAACAAACATGATCCGATGATGAGGTAGATCAGAACCCTCTGCATGCGAATTGGCAGAACCACCTGTTGCTGATTGTTGACCTGAATCTAATAACAGGCAGAAACGTCTTGTTCTTGTCTAAAATCTCTCGAAGAAATCGCTCATGACGGTTTAACCTATTGCCTCACTTTTATTATTCCGGAAACCTGTGTATTCCATACAATGACTGATGTTTCGTATAGGTGAAGCTTTTACTACGCAAGGCTTTTATAAATTACCACTTTTCCCATACTTTATAGTTTGGTTTTAAATCATGAAGTCCAATGGTAAATGGATAGCCTATTTTAATTTTAATTTTCAATTTTTTTCACAAAGAATAATATCATTGTGACCCAATGACGTCTTGGTAAGTTCTTTTGGCAAACTTCCGCGAATTAGACGTTGAGGGATGAATGGGATAATTCATGAGGCATCATTAAGATAAATGTCTCGGCTGAAACGTCCTACTTTTCTACTTTTGCAAACAATCGAAAGTCCGCCTCTTTTGTGACTTGGGACCTGAGTGGTATCAGATAACAAATAATTGTGCCCGACCGCACTGTGCGTAGGCTCATAACAGCGAAATCCATTTCTCGCACCGTTCGTGAGAATATAACTGCACGCTTAGAATGTGGCACGGGCCTTAATACAGTTAAATACCGTCTGTGTAAACCCGTGGCACTGACTATGGGATAATCGCGAAGTAGGTAACAGTATGGAGGATGCATCGTTGGCTGTTGTCGCATTAGAGATGCGCTAACCTCGATCGAATGTGTCGAGGACGCCATGCGCTCAGCTTCACGCTCCTAACAAACCGTGATACAAGAAGAAAACAGAATACATGGACCAGATAATTTCATGTTGTGGATTTGCACACGTCCTTTCGAGGCTAAGTGCTACAATTTCATTGCAACACAAAAGGTATGCAAATTTTTTTATCTTCCAATCCATGGCGATTCCTTAAAAGAAATAAAAGACTTGTTTCAAAATCATAATAATAATTACTTTACAAAAAATGCTATCGTTGAATTCTAAAATCTTATTTTGTTTTAACTATATAAAAGGGGGTTATTTATCTAATATCTTTTAATAGTAGCAAATAGCTACAAAAACATGTTGAAATGAATGTATTAATCAGTATACGGAGTGCATATGTGTGTCAAAACATTGCTAGTAATTGAGTAAATTAGCTAATTATACGCCATAAGGTTGCAAATTCCACATTCATAATGTTCATTTATTTCTACTGGTAATCTCTATTTCATAGCTATCACACCAAAAATGAACGACAGCTGGTTTATATATAACCTATGTTGGAGAATGTAATAATCAAAAAGCAATTTGTGCAAGAGTGAGGTGCTATGCAGTTATAAATTGTACTATTGCGTAATAAAGCAGTATCACATCATGTAATCATAAAGCGCGTTGCTGTTTTGTTCGTCTCGCTTTACGTATTTCAGTGTCAATAAATCTGGAACAAAATGAAATCTCTTCTTCAACGTCATATTTTGCTGAAAGAATAGAGATAGTAAAGATAATTTCAAATATATTTTACGTTCTTCATATATCAATATAATTTATATTTATTAATTTATATTCAGAGCGCAACTATGAAAAAAGATTTAAAAAATGATTCATGATTGTCGTTATATAAATACAAAACATTATCCACCATCTATACGGGACACAACATGATGAGAATGATACACCAAAATGCAGGGAAAGTAGATCATCCGTGTCGATAATCCTCGCTCATTCCACGCCGCAGGAAAATCGTACGATAGGAAGGTCACGGGCTGTCCGTAACCTGGAACCAGTTTCTAACATCCTCACGTTATGCTAGGGGTCAGAGAGATCACGGTGCCAGATACTCTACCAATGCAGTCCACGGCGCTCCCCTCTGGTCTCATCTCAACACAGACTTCGCCTCTCTCCTCCCGCGCAAAATGCGATTCATGATGAGGCCGCACACTAACATGACTAACATGACGCGGAAGATGCATACATAGTACTTCCAAGTACGTAACCGCCACAGTGAAATTTAATGAACGAATCGCGTGGTAGCGAATCGCGTTGAACAGCAGTGTCTCGATCTCAAGACGCGAGTGGGTCTCTGTGTCAGGAAGGGTCACATGTTCTTAACGCGCTACCACTATGAGAATTTTTACCTCGGCCCCGTCCCGCCGCGATGGCAGCTGTCTAGCGAGCTGAAAGAGAAAGAGGAAGATGCAAGGACGAGAGGGGTTCGCGATGGGGAGAAGAAAGAAGATTATCCACTCATACAAGTGAGGTCGTGTCGTCACATGCACCGGCATATTCGTCCGTTTATACGAGAGAGATACCTCATCCCCTTTGTGAAGGATGGTATCTAGGAGGATGGCAACTCGCTGGTATATATCTGCTCGGAGACTTCGTCCTGATGCCAGTTCTCTCTAGGTCGAGGATCATCTAGCTCGTGGATGCGCGCAACTATTCGTATATCCGACTAATCACTTCGAATTTCGAGTCGCGTGTCTCTCGCGTGATTTCGAGGATACGAGGTGTTTGTGATTTAATCCCAAAATTGTCCAGCCAAGCATTCGCGAATTGGAAAGCCATTCGAATCCAACATGTTGGCAATTAAAATTATATCAAAGTGCGTGCTGCTGTTGTTAATCTGCAGTGCAATTCATGCCAATGAGGACGGCGGATTCCTTGAACGAGGATATCGTGCTCTTTATCGTGTCTACGAGGAGTGCGAGCATCGCAATATGGCCGTGTCGCCGTGTTTGAAAAAGAAGGCGATCGCCTTCTTCGAGAGACTCGGTCGTATACAGACTTTACCGATCAGCGATAATCTCGAGCTGATCAAAGTCGCTTCTGCGACGGATGATAGCTCGAAAAACACGATTCCCGATTTGGAGAAGACTTTGGCTAGAACTAACGGAGGGGCCATGGACGAAATGCTCAACGATATTCTGTTCGAGCGTGTAGCCGCGCTAATGAACAGTTTCAACGTGCAGATCAGCTTACCAAAGACAAGTTCTGGCGAATTAAAACGAAGTATTGAGGAAGGTCGTGGGAAAATGAAGAAGATGATGGGCATGATGATGATGGGAATGGCGATGAAACTCGCCGCGTTAGTTCCCATTGCTATGGGCGTGCTTTTCCTGCTGGCAGGTAAAGCTCTGATCATCAGCAAAATCGCTTTAGTTCTGTCGCTGATCATCGGCTTGAAGAAATTACTAAGTCAAAAGCAGGGTCACGATCATGGCGGCTGGCAGCAAGGCGGAGGTGGATGGGACAGAAGTCTGAAGGGAGTCGTAGACGCACCTGTATCATCAATGACGGAAGCCGATCGCGAATACGCTCAGACTTTAGCTTACAACGCGCGGCAGAAACATTAAACAATCCGCAGCAGGAAAAAACAATGGGAAACCTTCAGGTGGAAGGAAGCAACGCCTGTATCCAAAGGAGCAGATAATATGCGATTTCAGAGACAGTTCGGAACATCGAAATAGATTCACTTATTTATGTTTTAAAATAAATTTTATCATTTATAAAACATTTCATCGCATTTATGCGTACTGCATAGATAAAAAGAAGAGAGTGTACAGATGGAATACATCAGTGATGTTATTGTTAAAATAAGAAAAAAATTATGAATGAAAATATAGAAGATGTAAAAACTTTTAAAAAATTGAAAATAAGAAAAAAGATCAATTAGGCGAGCTGTCTTATTTGTGTAAATTTTTACAAGTCTGATCGCTTTTTGAATGATTATAATGATTTATTATGATTTGCTATGATAATAATCGCATTGTAATTTTTTCTAAATTAATTATAAATAACGTAAATATTTAATATAATACAATATACAATGTATAGTAAATTTTATTATTATATACATTTGGAGCGAAAAAGAAGTTACCGCAAAAAAGATTATATATTTTGACAATTTTCTGTAAAGCAAGAAAATGCGCAAGCTGTAAAAATGTATAGCTGGAATGTAAATAACTGTCAAAAAATATAAAACAAAAAAGTGATAACGACAAATATTTCCATTTTAACTGTCAATTGTCCCAGTAAACGAAACAATGTAACGAAATGTGATAGCGAGAGAGTAATTTTCACTCACGGAAACTTCTAATGGTGCCTGTTTGAAGTTTTTGTCGACAATCAAAACGCGATCAATTACGAGGTTAAATAAAAAGAAGAAGACAGTTTGATTTAGTCTTTGATTAGCCGAATTTGTAGTCGTTTCTCAGTATACTTGCGATATTTATATTTATTTATTTAGTACCTCACCAAGGTAGGCAGAAAGTACATATTTATTTTAGATTTATAAAATAACCTTAGAGAGAGTTTGGAATGTGTAGCTTGCGACAAGTACTTACATCTGTATCAATATTTACGTTACTAAAATCTTGTGTTCAGTAGAGTAAGCGTAACGATTAAAATACTTGAGTGTTAAAATGTAGTGAATAAGAAATACTAATTCCATCATCTGTCAACATTTATTATATAATGATTAATTTATATAAATATATTACATTTTAAGAAACGTAACATTTATTTCGTAATGATCGAAATACATGCGGATTGTTTCGCTTAACGTTTTTCATTTGTAGTGTCTAAAAGATAAAAAATAATTTAATTTAATGTGTTTACAAGTATACACTTGACGCGACGCATTTTCTACGAAATGTATACAAAATGTGTATACGTTTGACTCCGAGAAGCGATTATAAATTCGGCTTAAGTGTTACTTTGTGCACACAGGCGTTCAATACTTTCTCAAAGATAACGACGATTAGTTACACAAGTCTAACCTGATTGTAAATTATTACGAAATAAAGTCATTCTCACTTCTTGGTATATTCTTGATATATTCTTGGTGCACTCCTTCTAAAGATCCTGATTTCGTTATCAGTGGATCTTCAGTCCGAGAACGGCAGCAAACAAGGCGAAGAAGAATCCCGCAAGCAACGTCGTTCCTTTGAGAAGAATCAAACCTCCAAGTATTGTTGGTATCAGAGCGACAAATTTAAGTTTATATGCCATCAGTAACGCCAACATAGTACGACCAACCTTTCGTTTCTTACGCCGTGCTTCATCTGAAAATTATCACGAACAATATGATTAAAATCTTGAACATATTTTCGATGATTTAGATTTGAAATAACGGAAATATCTAATTATTTAACACTATTATATTTATAATAATATTCTAGATATGAAAATGATTTTACTTGTGTTACAAGATCACATAATCAACATACAAATGGAATACAATACCGATCATTAATGTGATTTTATTAAAAATTTTATATGTATATATATATATATAATATTTGGAAAATTTATTGTAATTGAGAAATTAACATTAAACTCTCTCTTGATATTTGTTAGGATTTGAGTGTAAAAATTATAAAATTTTAAATTATCGACATAAATGTTCGATATATCCCATTTCAATAATGAAAATCATTATAACATATATTAGAGAAAACCGTTATACAACGATACCGTTAATCATACTCCATCAGAACGACAATTCAAACATAACATTTGCTGCTATTTTTTAATGTTTTATAGCGCTTGCATTACAAGATAAAAGCATTTCTGTCATTAAGCATTATAAGGCCGATTTTGATTTACCTCGTTCCTCGACTTCAATCTTAGAATGTACATTATAGAAATCTTCATCAATTGAACGATGAATCTTGGCTATGTTATCTTTGGCGTTGCGACCATTGACTGAAGAAATAGGATTGACATTATCATTCATATGTCTAAGGATCTTCTCGTTGGAAGTGACGATTCTCTCTTCTTTCTGCCATTTCTCTGGCGTCGATTTTGAATGCTCACTCGCGCGACTGACGCAATTCAAGGTCAGCAAAACCGCGACCAGATTAACTCTCAACAGCATCTTTTCTCGCATTCATGAAGAATGAGTTCTCGCTGGAAATTCTGATAGTATTTGCACGCGGTTTCGTATACAATCTCACTCTTTCATCTATCTCACCTTATTTCATTGTCAAGATGTCATCGCGCACTGATTGATTTTCCTAGGTCAGGGAGTACCCAACGAATTTCCTCGAATAGCAATAACATCCGAATGAATTGATGAAGCGAGCACTGTCTTTTTCTAGGATTGATGACGAAAGATGAGTGCTACGGTCGTCACGACATGCCTCTTCCGTTGCTCGTGTCCGCCTTTGATTAAGCTCGTTCTGTTCCGTATGCAAGATTTTAAAGTTGGATCTATGGAAATGACATGTAGAAAGAAAGAAGAAGTCAACTAGGTATGGATAGAAAGAAGGAATGAACGGTGCAACGAACAACCGCGAACTAACTGATCCACCGTTGATCCACTGTTCGACGACAAACTGACCGGACGCAGTGGATACCACGCCAGGCACGCTTCAGTTGCCGGGAAAATCGGCAGTCCGTATAAAATGAGCTCCGACGGTGAGCCAGCGATATATACGCTTGCGGTAAATACTATGATCCAAATTGTCAGTACCGATATATGTGTCACGTTATATCGCAAAACGGTATATACGATGCATAGACGCGGTCATAAGAAGGTTTCTACGGGTGTTCTCGTCGTGTAAGAGAAAGGGAGTGGAGGCCGTCGCGCGAATGAGCGCATTATAATGCCTTTATAGGGGCGGAAATGGTTTTGCAGAAACACGATGTGTTTTTTTTTGCAGTGAACGTCGTTTCGCAATGAACGCGATTTTTTTTTAAGTTACGCTACGCAGATATCCGGGCCAAAGAAAATTTGATGATCTTCACGTTGGAAACGTTTCATGTCTCCAGTCATCCAGTATAAGATCGTACGTGATTTAATGATTCTTTATCTCTGATATTCTTATCTCAAGAAAAATCAGCTTATAAATGTTTGATCTAATTTTCAAATCTCTATGATTAAATGCTCATATGTACTTTTGTATCTTTTAATGATTTTTTTATTCTCTTGTACTAAATAATTCTAAGATGTTTTATATCTACAAATTATTAGTATAATATAATATGTCGATAATCTTATCTGATTATGATTATTTGCACGAACAATTTTCATTATTTTAAAAACAACGTTTCTTTGTTTAGAAACTTATTTTAAAATTAACTAAAGAACATATATTTATTTGATATATTCACTGTTAAATCTTATTTGTAAGTTAAAATATGTAAATCACTGTTATTTTTAATTTAAATCTCACATTTTTAATTTAAATCTCATATACTTGTGATTGAAATAATATCCGCTTAAGATATCCGGAAAAAGTGTCACTTCACTCCCTTCCACTCGCTTTTCAATTTTGTTACGCCACTTTTAGATTATCGATTGCCTTTCTTGTCAGAGCATCATCCCACACTCATAACAGAGCAACACAAACTGCACTACATTTTACAATCTGCTGCATATTTATCTGGAGTACTTGAAGCACGTTCTGCTTAAGTGCACAATGGAATATTGCACATTGCTCTAACCACGACATAAATGAGCATCTTATTGAGTATCCTGCCCGTAGGATAAGAAATTAGAAATCTGCATGTATACACGTAGAAATCTACGTGAAAAGACTGACTGATCGTAAATGATCTTGGATGGAATTTTTTTTTTTTAGTTACGCCCAGCAAACATGCGGGTTGCTAATAATCTGGTAGCTTTAAATGATCCTTACAACCTGATAATATTTTCTTCTTGTTGCGTTTAATGTATTAATTTACGTATATAGGTATATGGGTCCAAAAATACTTGTACACACATTGTGTTCTTACTTTTAATTTCTTAAAATCTTAAAATCTTAAAATCAATTTCAAAAGGATATTACAATATTTTAACATAATGAGAACATGGGTATTGTTTAACTTATTTAATATAGGATCTATTACTTTTATAGAATTTGATGTGACAGAAAAATGTTTCTTCATAAAGTTACATTATTGAAATTCAAATAAAATGGAGATTGTATTATTGCATTGTTTATCGAATAAGAAAGTGATGTAATAAAATTAAGTGTACGCGAGATTGATAATGTATATGTGATAATGTATGTAATAGAATGAATTTATATTATTTGACACCTACAGAGTAGACAGTTATTAATGTATTTAATATTCATTAAATTGCGGAAAAATGTAGTGAAATTATAACAATTTGCATAATTAACACAAAGCATTCGAAGCATGTATTGGATGCCCGCGTACGAGATTGATGAGACAAAGCATTGGATACAGCGTGAAATTCCATTTTATTAAATGATTAATAGTCTGATTGTTTCCAGCAATTATCAGGTTCTTATCTGCTCTGAAAATCACGAGTCACATGCATCACATTAAATAAAGTGATACTTAACAGTCATTATCACATTTGTACTCTCTCCTTAACTTTCTTCATTCTCGGATATTACATGGAGGCAGTTTTCACAAGTAATAAACCTGTATATTTACTAACGCAGAAAACTTGCACGCACTAATTACGCACTCGCAGCAAAATTGTTTTTTTGGATACGTTGTTTCTAGTTTGCGTCGCTAATAAAAGATATCATAATGTTTGTCGCTATTGAAATTATCAGGCTAGTTATTTAAAGATAGATTGTGATAGAGCATTAGTCGAGTTCCTCGTGTATGAAGCCGACAACCTACATATCGGTACAGTAATTTTATTCATATACCTCCTAAGTATATCACTTCAGATTCTTGGAAAGAGAAAATAAAGAATAATTTGATGTGTTTTTTTTTTAAAGCTTGTATCCTAAATAATAATGATTATTAGGAAGAAGATATCAAAAAACGAAATGATAAAATGATAAATATTGATTCTGTTATTGTAATTTTTGGGGTTATATACATGCATAGTGTCTCATTTATTTTTTTATTACAATCTATTATTATTTATATACAATCTATGATAAATTCCTATAACAACATGATAAAAATAATTCTTTTCACACATGAAAAAATTAAAGTCGTGAAAGTGGAAACGAAATTCATTATAGGTGTATATTTCGTTTTGCAATGTCAAATTAATGTTTTGAGGTTTAGAGGAGGTCATTTCAGCCATAGTGTAAGATGCCAGCCATGTGTAAGAAATTTTATAATTATTAAAAATCATTTTTATGTAAAATTGATTGCTGAATCAGATAAAATTAAAGTGATTGAAACAGAAAAGAATGAAAAACGTATTTTTCGAAAATTATTAAAAATGATCAATTTTTTAAACCTTAAAAAACTGCAGTTATCATGTCTTTTTCATTAGTATTCACAAAGATAATTACAGAAAAGTCGAAAAAAGAAGAAATTTGAGCCATTTTTGATTACAAATTTATTTTTTAAATCATTTTGTACTACTCTAATTTATCTATTCCAATTTAATTTTATCATTTTTTAGTTCAGTTTAGTTCACTAATTTTATATGGAAATACATGATTTTCAGACAATCGCAAAATATGATATTATTATGTTATGATTAATATTATGTTATGATTATTAGGATTAAAGAATATTTAGTCAATTAACAATTGTTATGTTCAAATATCAGAAATCAAATTGTCTTTAGAATAAATAAAAAAATTTCAGGCAATATTTATGATTACTGTATTAGTTTTACAAGCATAATGTATATAATTTATGAGCTTATTCATAAGGAACTATTATTACTGTTATTACTATTGTTAACCATAGTCATTTCTAATTTTATCAAATAACAGGCGTTCACGAAAGAAGAGTCTATTATTAACGATATAAAAACTTTGCTCGTGTAAAAAATGAATTAGCGTAATAATGTTAACCCATGTAAGTATACATAAGTATGAAATAATAAAAAAAGATACTATAAGTTAAAACACGCATAAAAGTTTTTAAAAAACTGCTTTCTAAATAAAAGATACGTTTCTATATTTAAAAAAATATGTTTGATAATAATTTATAATAACGTATGTAACTAAAATTATTTTCAGAAAAATATTGTAATTTATTAAAAATTTCTAAAAATATGATTGTGATAATGTGGATATGACATTAAATTTAAATTAATATAAAAATGTTGTTCTTTACTGCTTTTCTGACGTTTATCCATCGTATTCAAGCGTGTAACATCATTTTTTTCTGATGTCTGATAGAAAATATTTCACTTAATGATGAGCATGAATATAGATTTTTTTTTATAGTCTTTATTTATTAACTGAAAAATTAGTTTCTAAAGATACGTACACTTTCTTCTGTGATTAATGATTAATAACCAATTTTATATGCTTTACGGTAAAGAAATGATATTATTCATTAATATAATTTGTCAAAATCTTTTAATATTAATTAATTATTTTTTATATTTTATTATACTTCAACTTTTTTATAGTATAATACAATATTGATACAAAATTTTATCATTAAAAAATTATAGCTGGCTCTAATTTAATTAGATATCAAATTATTATCGGTACAATAATTGGAACACTATTGATTTTCTTTAATTATAGATCCGCTTATAGAATGAAATGGTTTAATTTGAATTATTTCTAGTTTATTTTTTTCGGTATAAGCAAGCTAAGATCGCGGCAGTTTTTGTACCACAACTATTCGAGTGTAAAACGAACTCAATTGATAATAAATGTATATTCTCACGACAAAGGACAATAATAGTAAAGTACATTTAACGGAGAGAACGATCTACTTATCCCGGTCGAAATATTCTATGGAAGATTCTTCGTTCTCAAAAATGATTGACGCGAACAGCGTCCAATGATCGAGGATCTAGATTAGCTCAAGAGGTACGGGAATGGACATTGGATCCTTCGTCACGCAACAGTACCAAGTTAGATGACTGGTCTCCTCCTCTGAGCTTTTCGCGGTCCCACTATATAAACTAATAACCCGACATAGCACGAATGTTAGTTAACATATTATTGGCGAAGAGATCGGTCGCAATTG